AATCTGTTCTGGTAAACAACATTTATTGATGCAAAATATGAAAACAAATGAAGTCATTCATGATATATTGAAAAAAAACATAAAAATTTTGAGGGTCGGGTTATCTGTGGTTGGCACATTTTTCATGGCACTTTGGTTAAAAATTTGAGGGTTGGCTTATCCACAGATGGGCTTATCTGTGAGTATATACAACAACAACAACAACAACAACAACAACATGATGATGATGGTGATGATGCTTGGCAACTAAATACCTTCTGAAAATACAAATATTTGAGCTACTAGAATCTCAAATGCACACCTGAAGAGAAAAATTCATATTAACATGGGGAAATGTTTAGTTCTGAACTCTGACTGACCCCTCTCAAAAAACTTTTTAAAGTTTTTGAGCCTGTGTGAAAAAATTTTCCTGAGTGAAAAAAATAAAAATTGTGAGTTGCTCCTTTGCTCCTTCATTTTTTGTCATAGGGCCAGAAAGATAGATTGTTCATACTGAATTCTACCTGCAATCCAACATACAGAAGAATATGATCAAGGAATTGATTTTTAAAATTAAAAATAAATAAAAATTTTCATGGCAAACCATGGAATCAAATGACTGCGCAAGCCATTCTAAAGCACACAATATTCCGTTAACTTAATCTTGTTAAATCTATCAGCAGCTTCTTTGATACTCCATTGTGAAGAATGCTGTAGCAGTGAGGGGTGGGCCTTCAGCATTTCAGGGCTTCACTGATTCTGTGCCCTGAAGGCAGAAGCCCATTGGGTCTGCTTATTCTTAAGGTACAGGAATTCTGTTTATTTTAAAACTGTGCAGATGGGGCCATCCATCCCATTGCTTTTGTGATGTCTGGCAAACAAGACTTTTGTGAATCCTGGCTGCAAGCCTTGACATTGATAGCTAGCCACTCCACATGCCAGACAGGCGCAGGCACAGAATACACATACCCAAGTGAAGCACGACTCTTGGTCACATACAGAATCAGATTGTCCCAGTTCCTCTCTGCTGGAGATAGGAGCTGGAAAAAGCATGGGACGAACTTCTCCCCACAGACTCAGAGAAAAGTGTGAAACTTCCAGGGAAAAGGTTCTTATTGTATCCAAGAACTGCATTACTATACTTTTTCTTTCTTTTTTCTCTGTACGGTTAAGTTTTTTTTTTTTTTTAATTTCTCTGATCAAGCTAGTGAATTCTGGCTAATTTCAAGTTCAAAGGAGGTGGAGTTGAACTTACAGTAGGGAGGGTCACTTGAAACTCAAAACACTTCCGGAATGATCAGACGTGTGTTAGAAAACTTCTGATAAAGTCAGAAATACCTGTTTTGAACTTGGAACAGTGCATTTGGAACTTGAAATCAAGTGTTTCTAGAAGACAAACTTCTAATTTTATTATTTTCAGATAATACCAGTAAGCTTCCTTGTTTATCATTGCTCTTTTTTATGACTGCATTGTGGATTTAACTGTTTTTAATAGAACATTTAAAACATATAATACATTATATTAAGTGTAGAGATGAAATAAGGAAAAAAATAGATTTGAGCAAATGCATTTGCCTCTAAAAGTGACCATTTATTAAAATTACTTACCCAATACCACTTTCTGGAAAGAAGCGGAAGCTCTGTAATAGTTGTTCTTGTTGAAAATTCTAATTTTGGTGCAATGCCCTTTAAACATTTTTAACATCAGGAATTAATATAAATACATGCAGAACAAGATAACATATGAAAGTACTATATGAAATTGCAATTGCATATTTTTCATTAATTTGAAGAACATCAGGTAAAAAAGATAGATGTGAATTTAAATTAACAGTTAATGTGTGCACATGCTTACAAGTTACTTCAAATAAGCATGCAAAGGTTGCATCATAAACTTACCAGTTGCCCCCAAGTAATATTTTTTATTCACAACTCAGATTCTATGCCAAGCTATCATATCATTTGAGTTATCTCAGGTAACAGCAACATAAGGGTTGATTACTTAGTTTGATTTACATGTGTGTGTTCTAATTTCAAATAATGCTGAATCAGTTTCTAACTTTACATATACTCTATTTCCTTCCAGGAGAAGGGAGCAAATAGTCTGCCAGACCTACTTAGTTATTATAAATGCCTACTTTAGATAAACCCCGGCACAGAGATGTTTGGGGAGGGGAGTTGTCAAAACGTTGGTGACCATGGCTGCCATCTTGGCTTTTTTAAACCCCCACCCCCATGCCCCTGGTCTAGCATCAATGTTCAGGTTGTCCTATCCTGAATCTGTGGTATTGATTTTTCTCCCTCACGGCCCCCAAGATCACTATTGCTGTTTCCCAACACTAATTTCAATTTTGAAAAATAAAAGACAATTTCAATATTTAACAAGAATTAAATACATATTCAATAAGGAATTAACAAATGTAGAGGAGTTCTCTGTCAACAGCTTTATCAGATTATAATAAAGATGAAAGATTAGAGAGAATACTTGCAAAGTTTCAATATATTTCTTTATAAAAAAAATCATATGAGTTGGCAAAAGTTGAGGGAGCAAACCCAACAATTTCCATCTAGGAAATCTCTACTATCACCTTTCACAATTCTGGGTTGTCTAGATGACTGCTGAGAATTATGGGATTTTAAATCTGGCCCATTTCAAGGATACTAGATTGGATGAAGGCTACACTAGCACATAAGACCCAAAAAAAACCATACCCAAACTTTGGCACATGCCTGTCACTTAAAAAATGATCCAAATTCCAGGTAAAAGATTAAGCTTTTCCAATACCTTGTAATGGTTTATAACTAACTTACTAACTACTGTTTTTATTATGTCAACCGAAGCTATCACTGTAGTACATTTTACCCTTTGAACGGTCATAATGATTTTACTATAAAGGAACTATTTGTGCTTTGAAGAGCTTTTAACTGGCATCAGTAAATTGTGTTAATAAATAAAGAGGTAAAAGTTGACAAATCAAATAATTCATGTCAAGATCAGGTTACTGAGCAGACATTTCTGTCTTTGGTATATGTAATCTCATTTCATACCAACATACCGGGAAAGAAGAATGAACATTCATTAATAGCTCTCGATCCACTCCAGGATATGAAGGAGTCAGCTTTGGCTCAGGAAACAGAAAATATCGAGTGTTTGTTTCATAAAATGCCAGCTCTTTTCCATCTGAATATTAAAAAGAGAATTGTGACCAACGGAATAAGTCTGACCAATGGAACATACAATCTCATCATATTGTATCTCAGAAAAATAAGTAATTGCACTGTTCTCCATGACACATTCTGTCCCACAGCATACAACAAATAGGTTACATTCACACATAGTAGAAAGCATTGGATCCTGGCTTCTTCAGCCAAATGGAAACAAGCAAAATGTTCACATGTGCAACTGTTTCTTCTTTACATGAGCAGATAAACCAACCCAACAGGGAGAGCTTTGCATGATGAACAAACCCTATATTGTTTCCAAGTGGGCCAGGACTATAAAGTAGTTTTAAAACAGAGTTTGTTATTGGCTTACAAATTGTGGTTTGCTTAGGTACAATAACCCCAAATCCCCTGTTCAAACATCATGGTAAACTATTTGAAAAAGGGTTTGTACCAACAGACAGCTGATAAACGCAATGATTTCATACACCAGAATTCCTAGCTTATGTATAGCGTGCAAGGGCTTTGCATTAAATCCCAGGGATCATAAAAACAACTTTTAAAAGCACAAGAATGTCCAGCTGCTGTACAGAGACCTTTCTAACTGAGATCCGAGCACATATCACATTATTCATCCAATGATGACTTCAGTGATAATAGTTGAAATGTGCTGCTGAACCATATTGGGATCACTACTGGGGGGGGGGAAGGGGGGGAAAATGTCATTCAATAAAACCTTTCTTCCATTGATGATCTTTTTCCTTTTTTTTTTTTCTCCAAGAAACCACTTCAGTGTTCTCAGGTAGGCAAGAACAATGCTTTCCACATTTCTCTCTTGGGTTATAATAGAGTTTAGGACCACAAACCCATCTAAAGCAGCTCCAGAATTCACTCTATACAGGTAGTTCTCATTTAGTGACCACAATTGGGACTGGCAACTCAGTCATTAAGCAAAGCGGTTGCTAAGTGAAAAATCATGCGACTGCAACAGTGCTTGCGATTTTACACAGGACAAGACAAAGCTACTAACTGACTGTAATGGCGAACACATGACTGAGAGAGAGATGCTGAGAGTGTTGTAAATGTGAGGATTGGTTGCAAAGTTACTTTTTCATCACCATCGTAACTGTGAATGGTTGCTGTCTGAAGCAGTTGCTAAACAAGGATTACCTGTACGTCCTGCAAGGGCAGAGGGATCTGCAGGGTGGAGGTAAAAAAACTCAAGGTGGTGGCTATACCCACATGATCAATGATGGGAAAAAGGGGCAAGACTTCAAACTACATATTTGTAGTTGCCCTCCTGACTGTTTTAACCCCATCCCCCACAGATGCACCTCTGCAAAGGCCAATCACCAGTCTCTAAGAGTGCTAACCTGACTAGAAGCCCACCACAACTGGTCAGAAAAGGAGCTGGATTTTGTCCTGCCATTTGCACAAAATGAAATATTCAGGAGCAGGGCAAATACAGTTAGCTGTCAGTGAAACAGTGTTCTTCACTGGAGATTAAGGAGGGCCTCTCACTTCAGAAGCATAAGCACATGTTTCAGATGCAGTGAAGCAAGTTACTAATTGCATTGATATAATTTAAACCTAGCCATAGGAAAAATGGATAAATATAGCACATGCTATTGTTTCTTATTGTAAAATATGTCATTTTTCTCAGTGACATGGGATTTAATTTTCCATTCTCCCTGTCCTCTGGGATGCATCATTATTATATATAATTGCATTTGACCCTTTCATTATCTTGAAGCATGTGGTATCACCAGAAAGTATTGTCTGTCCACTTTCATGCGTTTTGTCAGCAAGGGTTTATTTTTAGATTTCAATACCAAAGCAAAGACATTTCATTTGGGAATGGCAAGATTCACAGCAACGTCCAAAATCCAGTTACTGGAGATGGAGGCTTAGCAATGCAAACGTATACAAGTCTCCTCCAAAATAAGTTCCACTGAGTTCACATAATTGTATATACAATAGTACCCAAATGGTTGAAATACACAAATGTAAAAACATGTTCAAACCTCAAAGGTTTCAAGAATACACAGGGTCTATTGTGATTATTCCTATACCTCATAATAACCCAAAATTACATGTTTTCTTGAGAAATAGCCACATGTGATATAACCACGGCATGAGAGAATGCAGAAGAATAGCCATTCTATTCTCGATACATGGGTGCATCTGTCTGTGAACTCCAAATACTCATGTTTTGTTTATCTTATCACAAGAGTCTCTTTGTGGCCTGTGTTGTTGTATCTCATTGGTCTAAATAAAAAGGGGAAGAGGCTTTAAATATGGGTCATTCAGCAATCGTTGCAATGGAAGTACCATCAGAACAGTGAGGATCCCTTTCTTATAGGCTGGTCATTCTAGAATTTGTGGGGAAAGTGCCTGATAGCTCCTTCTCAAAAGCCAACAATATGGCTTGGAATTAATTGATTTGTTAAGATAATTGCCACTGATTTGGCTACCATGGTATAATAATTAATGTCTATAATTTGGGGGAAAAAAACCCTGAAGTTATGCTTCCCTCTGTAATGAAAACTTGGCTTAATGTTGCAAAACTAGAATGTGATGCCATCTTTAGCTCTTGGCTGATTAGCCTGAAGTACCACATTCTATTTATGGATGATGACTATAAAAATTCAATGTCAAACTGCCCTGTTAATTTGTAGACAACTTTCAAAATCATATCTCAGCAAAGAACATATAATATTAAGAGCCTGTTCACCATTGTTATACTCCTTTTATTCTCTGTTTCTTGGCCACTAGTTTTAGGAAGCTTATGAGAGGCTAAAGTGATCAATATCAAGAATGATTAATATACAATTATCATATTCTGGGAATATTGGTTGTTTTCCAGTAAAAATTATCAACATTGGATACATTTATTAGAGAAATATGTTTGTACTACTTTATGAAAATCGCCATTATAGTATATAGTAGCTACATGTACCTATTTTCAATATTACCTACAGCCCTTCCTAGATAAAAACAGCCAGTACATGGTGATTCATACTATAATAACCTTGCCTCTTGACCTCTGGAATGTACTCCACAAGGATTGCCTTAGTTAGATGGTCTGGAACTTCAGTTGGTGCAGAATATTGCTGACTTGTTACTGAGCAGTGTGCAAGATAAATCTGGATCTACTGAAGAAACCTTAAGATATGAAAGTAAAAATGGTGCAAGCAGACAGTGAAGAATCTAAGTGTTGTGATGATGTCCCGAGCTTGATCTCAGGAGTTCCAAATCATTATGTCCACACAGTGAGTGATATCGGGGAGACTGGAACAAATCCCCATTATGGATAACATGTTTGCTATCATGTTAGTGAACAAATAACCTATTCACTGTTAACTGGATTGTGGGTCCGCTTGCAATGTGCTACTAGTCTTCTGTTCCTATAAATAGCATGCTATTAAGTACTCTTTATGTATAATAGGAGTACTCTAAAAACAGCAGATAAAGGTAGAATTAAGATTCCAAATTTAAACATGAACTCCTAAATGTATTATTTTGGAGGGTGAGAATTCAGACCATTGTTAGGGAACAGAGAGGTGCAGGTCAATATTGCTTGCATTGCTTCACCTTTCCCAGGTCCAGCTTGTGGACCCTCCACTTTCAGCAAGTGTCCAGTATAAGGCACTTATTTCAGTCTTAGCTGAATTTTATTAGGATTCCATTTATCGTGCCACTCTAAGAGAGGAAACTTTATTGTCATAGTCTACTACTGTTTCTGTTTCAGTATTTACTTCTCCAGTAATGAAGATGGCAGCTATAATTACTTTTGTGCCTGAAATGTGCTCCTCTTCTTGATTTAATTTTCACTGAAATGCATCTGGGCTTGACTGCTCTCCGTTTCAAGACTGGCTAGTAGCTTGATTCCTTGCCCAACTCATTATGCTGAAATCACGTTTAAAATTATATACAGATAAAATCTTAGTGCTAGATAGTCACATACTATGATGTCAATGATGGATAGTAAATAAGAGCTCCACTTTTAATGGTTGTTCAAAGACTTGGGTCTATATAGATGTCGTTTTCTAGAGGATGTTCAAACAATAAACAAGTTGCTGCTCTAAGTGTTGGTTTTATTGGGACAATTATGTCTTTATCTTATAAGCTGAGTAGTTCCTGCTTTAGCAGTTTTACAAGTACCACAGGGGCCCTCTGTTTAGTGATCCTTACTGGTTCCATATTAGAATACAGGCAGTCCATGGGTTTCAACCCTGATTGCTCATTGGAAGGATCGATAATGAAGCTCAAGCTCAGATATTTTGGTCACCTAATGCGAAGAGAGATCTCTTTGGAGAAGACCCTGATGCTGGGAAAGATTGAAGGCAAAAGGAGAAG